ATGACAAAAATGGGGGGAGGGCAAGATGCTCTGAATTCCTCTCATCTTAGAACCATGTCCTCTTTCACAATAATTATACCTTTAGGGAACAATGTGTTGTTCTCTCACTTTGCATAAACTAAGTTGCCCAAACATTTTGTTAGTTATGGTAATAAAGTTATATCTTATAGTTAAACAGCTAATAGGATGAACGTTAGTTTTTATTTATTTACAGTGGGTACGGAAAGTATTCAGACCCCTTTAAATTTTTCACTCTTTGTTATATTGCAGCCATATGCTAAAATCATTTAAGTTCATTTTTTTTCCTCAATGTACACACAGCACCCCATATTGACAGAAAAACACAGAATTTTTTACATTTTTGCAGATTTATTAAAAAAGAAAAACTGAAATATCACATGGTCATAAGTATTCAGACTCTTTGCTCAGTATTTAGTAGAAGCACCCTTTTGAGCTAATACAGCCATGAGTCCAAAGTGACTCCAAAGAGCAGTATTTTCATTTTAGTACGTTTTACCTTCTAGAGACATTTCATGGTTCTTCATAAGATCCAGAGAACATCACAACCTGTGGTAACCAAAGTTAAAACTGCAAATGGTAGTCAGTGATTTAAAGCAATGATGCCCCAGAGAGTGGCCAGGTAGGGGCATGGCCACCATCCTAAAATTTCTGTGTACCCCACTGCCCCCAAAACAGACAAGGTCTGTCATTCTAAAGTTTTGAAACACAAGCACTTAAAAATCTGATATACTTTTAAGATGGAACACATTTGAGTTAAATGTTAAAAGGAGTCCTCTCAAGAATTTTTTAAACAAGATTTTTAGATATAACTGAAATGGAAGGAGATGTTGGCTGTTAATAAATTATACAAACATTGAAATGATAACTAAACAAACTGAGTATGAAACCTGATGTGTGTTGTTTAACCAGAATTTTAGGTACAACAATGTTGCATTCATAATTCATTATTTTGTTCTACAGAATACAGATACGCCTAGAACTACAGCTACTTGTAGATTTTCTGTCCATCTAGAACCTTGACATTTGAAATAAATTTTAGTTCAAGAATACTACTTTTGATGTTTTTGAGCCGGTAACTCTGACTTTTTTTGGAGGGAGTGGTTTCCCAGGCCAAGCCTTCTGGCTCCCCTCGAGATGTCGTTTCTCCAGCTTTATTTAAGGAAGTCTTCCCATGTATTGGAGGCACGGTCTTGGAAATTATTAACAGTAGTTTGTCTTCTGGTGTTGTGCCTGGTTGTTTTAAGCATGCAGTTTTGCAACCTCTACTCAAAAAACCACGTTTGGATCAATCCATGTTGAGTAATTTTAGGCCTATTTCTAAGTTACCTTTTATCTCGAAGATTTTAGAAAAAGTGGT